CCTTGCCTCTAAAATGGCTGCCCTAATCAGGCACCTGGAGGCTGCCAGCTCCAGGCCCTTAAAGTGGCAGGCACACCCAGTGCACTGCCACATGGCCACTGACAAATGTGAAAAAAACCAGCACTTTACCAAAAGATGAAGCGCATCAGTCTGACCTAGCTCCCCAGCATCTGTATAAATCAGGCACTTCAGCAGGTCTTTCTAGCGCTTTTATCTAAAGCTTATTGTGAGGGCGGCACGCTGCCGCCGCGGGAAAGTTTAAAATCCCCAATAGCACCCGCGGGGAGGGGGAGCCAGAGAGAGAGGGAGAGAGAGCAGGCAGCACGTCTGGCGTGCTGGGGCTCCTGCTGGGGAAAGGCACCAGCTAGGCTGTGCCGTACCAGCACAAGAGGCAGGAGAAGCCTCTAAACCACTAACAGAGTAAAGCAAGGGGAAACTTCCTGCCTTGCAACAGGGAGCGAGCAGGGAGAGGCCAGTACTCCCCTTGAGAGGAGGGAGGCAAGGGGAACGACAAGGTACCCTGCATTTGCCAGCACTGACCCTAGGAGAAATAGAGCCAGGGACAGGTGCAGAATCCCCTGGAATCCACTGGATAAGGGAAGGCAGCTCTGGGAGCCTCCCTACCCAAGGGGAATGTTATTTCTAGGGAAGTTAAGAGTGAAGGACGCAAAGAGATAGCAGAAGAGCCAGAGACACAAGGGGACGGGCTGGCCGAGTTGTACAGCTGAGTCCGAGTCCCTGCATTGGTGAAACCGACAGCGGGCAAGCCCGCAGAGGACCGAAGATCACCATCCCATCAGCACGTGATCGGTTGGCGAGTGGACGGGGTGTAGGGGTGGTGGAGCCCCGCGGAACACTGTAGGCAACAGCTGTGAGTACACCCGTGTCGGGGAACCCCTCTGATAAGAACTCCACTGGAACCCTCTCACAATAATATACCAGCAAAGTCATGGCAGGCAGGACGAGGGGAGGGGCTACCTAACCGACGGGGGGCACTAGCCATAAGACCTCCGACATCACACTTATTAAGTCAACTGTAGGTAAAAGTGCCAAGAAACCCCACTAGAGCATCCGATCTAAACAGACATTGGGTGAGCCAGATCAAACTAACATGATGCCTCTTCTGGGCATGTGTTGCACTCTGTGCAAGGGCGTACTGAGCTGAAATTAAAGCAGTTTGGTTGTTTTTTTTTCCAACTCTGTAAGCAGCCAATAATGCTAAGAAAAGCTCAACTATCCTCTACCAACAATTTTAATATAGCCACAGGGATTATGTTAGGTTAAAAAAAAAAAACAAACAACACACACACACACACACACACACACAAAAACACCCCCCCCCCCCCCCAAAAAATGGAAGTGTCAATGCTTACAAGAAAAGATCTGGGAAAGCACACTTCCAAATGCTATTCTGGGAATCTTCATTTCCTGCTGCAAGGTTTCCAAGAAACTGGAGGCTACAACGAAAAGCTGAGGGAAAAGAATACACATGAATAGGAAATTCAAAGCAATAATCAAAAATCAATACATTTTATGGAAACGCTACATTCTCCAAAAAAAAAACAAATGCCTCAAGAAAACAAATATTACACCCATTTAGCTTTAACGTTATATATCTCTAATACTACACACATTTTTAAGTATTACCTTGCTGTATACTATTCTTTCTACTAAAATTTTCAGAAAAGGACAATCACACAAAAGGACATCCCAAAAATTGTGAATGAAACAAATCATATATTTTTTTATATTTATTCGAATGTTAAATATTCAGTAAAAGTATTATGAACTAAAGACACTGTTACCTACAGCAGGAGAAGGGATTGGGAAGGAGAGGGAACTCTATAAGTATGTGCAGCACACAGTAGAGAAAGTTTGCTGTGGACTGGAGCAAGCCTTCCACATAGCAGTGTCCATTTTGTCTTTTCCAGACTTGTGGTGGCCTTTTTCATAGTATTTCATTAACATAAATAAACTGCCTGTCATCACTGGACCACTGTGACAACAACTCTGACGGCTGCTAACACAAAAAATTATGCATGTTCCACAAACTGGCTGCAAAACAAAATGTTGAAGCTGCTAGCAGGGCTAGCCAACGTACTTTGTGCCAAAGCATACTGTATGTGTTGCCTAAAGTCTAAAGAAACATGCCTGCCCTCAAGTAAAATACTGAAGTGGGCAATGATTTGGCCCACCCAAGATGACAGTGAAAAGTGAGGTGCCAGGGTGCCTTACTTCTCAATGCTTTAAGTGCCTGCACCACCATGCAAGTTTTAAACTCACCATTTCAATAGACTGTTACATGAAAAATCAGGCAGACACTTCTACAAGGGGCCAAATACAGATATTTAATCTGTCTAAGCATCCACAGAGCTAGACTCAATTTTCAGACTGACAAGAAAATATTAGTAACACAGACAAATACACCTCAACATACAGTAGCAAATGCTAGGGCTGAGCAAAGCTTTGGCCCCCGATTCGATTCGGCAGAGATTCGGCCCGATTCGGTGACCAAATCTTTCAATCCAAATCGAATCAGAAAACCTTTTAATCTCTCTGAATTGAATTGGACCCTCCAAATCTTTTCGGAGAGATTCGGAAAGATCTGGAGATTCAGATAGACACAGCTTTAAATGTTTTTTCTATATACCTCTAGGTACCAGGTGGCTCGTCAATGCTGCGATGCTGGGGTGCATGGAGTGTCCTACAGGAGCGCAAGGGTCCCCCAGAGTGCTTAACAGCAGACCTGGAAGTGAATCAGAAGCACTTCCAGTCCACTTCCAGGTCTGCCGGGGAGCACACAAGGGGGAAACCCCATGACCACCCCCAGTCAGCAACTGGTGCCTCCCAGATCTGGGGGGGAGGGGCACCAGGGTCCCCCCGCAGCTGATCACCAGGGTGAGGCGGGGCCCCTGCATGCTCCGCAGCAGACCCAGAAGTGGTCCAGAAGTACTGCTGGTCCACTTCGGGGTTCACCACCGAGCATGCAGTTTCATAGTTGGTAGGGTCAGAAGGGACCTGAGCAGGTCATCAAGTCCAACCCTCTGCAATAGGCAGGAAAGAATGCTGGGTTCAAATGACCCTGGCTAGTTGATTATCTAGCCTCCTTTTGAAGAGCCTCAGGGTAGGAGTGAGTACCACTTCCCTTGGAAGTTGGTTCCAGATCCTCGCTACCCTGACTCTGAAATAGTGCTTCCTGATGTCTAACCTGAACCTACTCTCAAGTCAAGTTATGACCGTTATTCCTAGTTACTCCTGGTAGTGCTCTGGGAAACAGAATCTCTCCCATTCCCTGCTGGTCCCCCTTGGTAAGTTTACAGACAGCCACCAGATCCCTTCTCAGCCTTCTATTGTGGAGGCTGAACAGGTTCAGGTCCCACAGCCTTTCCTCGTAGGGCCTGCCCTGCTACTCCCTGATCATGCGAGTGGCTCTCCTTTGGACCCTCTCAGTGTTGTCCACATCCCTCCTGAAGTGCAGCACCCAGACCTGGACGCAGTACTCTAACTGTGGCCTGACCAAAGTTGCATAGAGGGGGAGGGTCACCTCCTTAGACTTGCTCGTGATGCATCTGCGGATGCATGAAAAGGTGCAGTTAGCCTTAAGGACCACATCCTCACGCTGTCGGCCCATGTTCATCTTGGAATCCATAAGGAGTCCGAGATCCTTTTCTGCATCTGTGCTGATGAGAAAGGAGTTCCCCAGCCTGTAGGTATGCTGTTGGTTCTTCCTCCCTAGGTGCAGTACCTTGCACTTGTCAGTATTGAAACCCATCCTATTCTCATCTGTCCACCCTTGTAACCTATCCAGATCTAGTTGTAGCCTGTCCCTCCCTTCTAGCATGCCCACTTCTCCCCACATCTTGGTGTTATCCGCAGACTTGAACAAGGTGCTTTTCAACCCCTCGTCCAAGTTGCTGATGAAGATGTTGAACAGTGCGGGCCTGAAGACCAAGCCCTGGGGGACCCCACTGCTCACATCCGTCCAGGTCGAAAATGACCCATCCATCACCACACTCTAGGTGCTGCCCTCCAGCCAATTTGTGACCCATCTGACTGTGTAGGCATCGACACCACAGTCGCCTAATTTTTTCATGAGAATGGGGTGAGAGACGGTGTGCCACGGGTCCCGCAATGACCTCTGCCAATTCTCTCAGCACCCTGGGGTGGAGATCATCTGGGCCTGCTGATTTGAATACGTCCAGTCCCACCAGAAGTTCCCTGACTACGTCCTCACTGACCCTGGGCCTAGCTGTGCCTCTCCCAAGTCTGTCCGGAATCCCAGTGGGGGGATGTCCCGGTCCCTGCTCAGAAAAATGGAGGCAAAGAATTTGTTAAAGAGGTCAGATTTATCATCTGGTGCGAACACCAGATTGCCAAGCATGTCCTGCAGGGGCCCCACATTACCCGGTGCCTTCTTTTTGCTCCCTATATATTTAAAAGAGGACTTCTTGTTATCTTTGATCCGGGTCGCTAGTCCCAGTTCCATCTCCACCTTAGCCTTCCTAACAGCCCCTCTACAGTCTCAAGCAATGGCGGTATAATCCTCCTTGGTGATGGCCCCTCCCTTCCATTGGGTGTACATCTCCTTTTTAGCTTTCAAACATTCCTGAATGCCTTTGGCGAGCCATGGGGGCTTTTGAGCACTCTTGCCCACTTTGATTCGCGTTGGGACTGTCACCCTTTGGACTCAGAGGATTGTCTCCTTAAGGAATGACCACTCATCTTGGACTCTCAGCTCCCCTCCCCTCTGGGACCTCAGTACCTCCCCAACTAATCTCCTTAACTCATTGAAATTGGCCCTCCTGAAGTCAAGGGCTGCTGCCTTGCTGCAGGCCTTTGATACCCTGCGCTGGATGGTTAAGTCCAGTAGGCGATGGTGGAATTCACACAGGGGACACTCCCCACACTTCTGTGGGATACTCCATCTGCCCCAGCATTGCAGCATTCATGAGTTGTGCCTGGTACCTCAAGGTATGTAGAAAAAACATTTAAAGCTGTGCCTATGGCCGAATTGCTGATTCTCCAAATCAGCATTAACTCCTCAGATTAATCAGATTTGGATTCAGCCAAACTGAAATCAGGGACAGTGATCCGAATCAACAAATTGAATCACTGTCCCCAATTCGGGCCAAATACAAATCCGAATCGAATATGGCCCATTTTGCACACACCTAGCAAATGCAAACATTAATTTCCAAACTCCTTCCACTGCAGTACCAGCCAGAGCCCTGTTGAAATAGTAACTGCAAAAATCTGGGAAATTAAACAAACAAAGCAGTAAGTCCAGGTCTCCATGCATCTCAGCAGGCTGTAAACCAGTAGCCATATTTATCTTGTACCACTAGACAAGGCAATAAGATGGGAAAATATTGCATATTATGAAAAATATACTATAGCAGGTATGTCCTAAGGAGCAAAACTACCACCAAACAAAGTATTTGGCTCACTTATTAGCTGCTTTCTTCAACCCAATTACCAAATTACCTAAAAAAGAAAGAATGAAGCATTCAACACCTTAATATGTCACTTCTAGAAAATTAAAGCCAGTTCGGCAAGCAAGTCTGTCTCCAGCTCTAGCACAACTTTGTGTGATCTGCCTGCCATAGTTCTACTATCATTACAAAATAATTACCCCAGCCTTCTCCCAATAAGGATTTTAAATATGGTAACAAGATATTTCATCATTTATAATATCCAAATCCCCAAAAAGTCAAGAGATGTAAATTAATAAAAAACAAAAATGTCAACCCACAAAACCCACAGAATTAAATCACACCCTGTTGGCAGTATTGACAAGCTCTCAATAGCTTGGCCCTTCCTCGCAGGCTGGCACAGAAACTTAAAATTAAATATTAAAATGCAGTTTAACAGATATTACAAACAGCAGCCTATTGCAGATGGTGGTAGAAGATATTGCCAGGTTTTGAAAATATAAAATAAGGATCTCTTTGAAAAGCGCTGTGCCAGCTGGCAAACAGATTTCCTATAAAGGCCTGGGCACATCTCTCCTTGGGAACAAAAAGAAAGCGAATCTAAAATGAGGTCAGTTAGGCTTAGGGAATAGTAATTTTATTTTTAATGTCTAAAATTAGTACATCCTTTATGTAATGCATTTTTAAACACATTCTCTCCATAAACTTTGAGTTTTGAATCATTCTCCTGCTCTTTTTCTACACATCCGCAGTTTTTATTTTCTGCCCAACCATTAGAGGCTTCCAGTTTTCTCATCCATCTGGCT